GGATCAAACTCAGGACCTTGTGCTTTCGAGGCAGGTGCCGGAACAACTGAGCTAAATCCCCGGCCCTTGTGTTTGATAGTTTTATTCACAGAGAATTATCTTTTAAAGTTTAAAGCAGAGATCTAAAATAAAGTGTCATGTGATATTCTGTGCAGTTTTCATGTTCAGTGCTTACTCTCGTTTGCTTTGTTTTAAAAACCTTTCTTTTTGTTTTTTGAGACAGGGTCTCCCTATGTAGCCCAGACTGGCCTTGAACTTGCAGTAATCCTCCTGCCTCAGCCTTCCAAGTGCTGGGATTACGGGCATGTGCCACCACCCTCAGCTAAAAGCCTTTCTTGATTGGAACCTCTTCTCTGGGCAAAGTCCTCTAGGGTGTTTTTAAATCAGACTATAAGGACGTACTCCATAACCATGACATGAACTAGATTGGAGTTTGGGTTCAAAGTTCATTTGTATATTCATTAACAAATACCAAGTCTCAGTTCTAGATATTGGAAATACACTGTCTTAGTTACTTTTTTCTCATTGCTGAGACAAAATACTCAACAGGCAAAGTTAAAGGAGGAAAAGTTTATTTGGCTTACAATTTGTAGAGGTTTCAGTTCAGAGTTGGCTGGATCTGAGGCGGGGGGCATGGCAAGGTGGCATGGCAGAGTTCATGGCAGAAGGCGGCGAGTGACAGGTGACCCCAGCAGCCCTCTTTTTGTCCCTTATATTCTGTCTAGGCTACCTACCTTTAGGGCGGGTAGCACTGGCACCCAGGGAGGGCCTTCCTATTATCTTCTCGAAGAACTATGCCAAACCAATCATTTGACTAATTTAGTAGTCACACCCTTGATCCCAGCATCACACACTTAATCCCAGCATCACATACTCTAGATCCAGCCACCTCTGAAAAAGCCCTACCTATAACTGCATGAGGCTTTGGGGAGACATTTAGACACAAGCCATACATACATTAATGAAATAAACAAATAGGACCGAACACTTATGGAGCTTATGTGTATATGAGAGAAAGAAATGAATGAAAGACAAAAGAGATGAATAAACAAATTTTAGATGTAAATGCTATAATGAAATAGAGGAGCCAGGTGAGGTAGTGCACATCTATAATCTCAGTTACTCAGGAGGACCAGTTAGTTATGCAAAGACTAAGCAGGAATGAGCTTGGTACGTGGGAAGAATAGAAAAATCACAGAATAAACAAAAGGAAAAGAAAATAAATGAGCTTATAGACATAGGTATAGGCTACATATAAGTCACACGGGCCATGGTAAAAGTTTGGATTTTATGCTAGGTACAAGGAGAAATCCTTGGGTGCTAAGGAGATAAGATATCAGTTTTACATTTAAGAAGTCCTCTTTAGCAGCTATGTGGAAATAGCTTATAAGGCCCCAGGAGTAGAAGTAGGTTGATCACTGGGCAGCTCTTGCAGCAGTGAGAGATGAGAATAGCTCTACTAGGATAAATGGTAGAGTTAAAAGGGAGAAGATGGTAAGATGCTAGGCATTGTGGAGCATGCCTGTAATTCCAGCACTTGGGAGGCAGAGGCAGGAGGATCACCGTGAATTCAAGGCTAGCTTGAACTACATAGTAAGACCCTGTCTTAAAAAACAAAACAAAGGGCTGGGGATTTAGCTCAGTGGTGCTGCCGCCTGCCTTGCAAGCGCAAGGTCCTGAGTTTGATCCCCAGTACCAAAAAAAAAAAAAAAAAGAAACAGTGAGCAACAGGTTGAACGTGCCAGGTAGAGGATGGGGAACAAAGAGGCTTTTGTCGCCAAGATAAATAACTGCAGATCCTCTTAGTACACCCTAACATATTAAACCATAATGATATTTTCTATTTGCGTACTCTATTCTATGTTCAGTTCCTAATAAACTTGGAGGAGTGTTAGCCCTGGTATTCTCAATTCTAGTTCTAGCAGTTGTTCCCATCTTCTATACATCAAAACAATGAAGTATAACATTTTTCCCCTCAGCCAATGTTTATTTTGAATTCTAGTAGTCAACCTATTTGCTCTTACATGAATTGGAGGAGCCAAGCATGGTGGCACACCCATGCCTGTGATCCCAGCACTTGGGAGGCTGAGGCAGGAGGATCACAGTGAATTCAAGGCCACCTGGGGCTACCCAGTGAGTTTAGGGCCAGCCTGAACTACATAATAAGACCTTGTCTCAAAGCACCCCCCCAAATCCAAACAATACTTTAGATAGTAATGATGTAATCGACCACGTTCAGGGTGGAGCATAAGGTCCAATTTCAGGAAAAAGAAATGCAGACTATAAATGCATCAGAGTCCCTCCCTAGTCTGAGTAATTCCAGCCAGCCCTGCAGCCCCACCACCTCTAGGAAACTGCACCACAAATGGTTTTGCAGTCCAACGTCTTTGCAGAGGCACCCTGGCCATTAGCAGGTCATGGAAGCCGCATTCTGCCTTTCTATGCTTGGGCCCTGCTCCCTGGTGCACAGCTGCTTCTGTTTAAAGGAATCAACTTTAATTCCAACTGCCATGGTAGACTGCCACCAGGAAGTGGGATCTGAAAACTACTCATCCTTGGTCTTCCTCTTGGGATGTTTTTTCCATAGTGAGAAGGTATCCAGCACACCATTTTGTGAGCCATTTATAAGGTATTAAAACAAGTATGGAGTGGAGTGGTCTATACTTGTAACCTCAGCTACTCTGGAGGCTTCAGCAGGAAGGTACAAGTTTGAGGCCAGTCTGGGAAATTTAGTGAGACTTTGTCTTTTAAAATAAAAAGGGGACTGGAGATGTAGCTTAGTAGTAGAGCAGTCCTGGGTTCAATCCCCAGCAGTGCAAACAAAACTGAAGTATGGAGTATACATTTTCAGTTAAGAGGGAAAAGTTTAAGAGATCTGTTGTACAGCATGGTGACTAATAACAATTGTATTAAGAATTATGAGAGTAGACTTAAGTGTTTTCATAAGAAACTATATGGGGTAATGTCTGTGTTAATTCAATTTTGCTATTTCACAATATATACATTTCAAGACATGTTGTGGATAAGTTTATACAATTTTTGTCAAATTTTTTAAAAAGTGAAGTATAGGCCAGGAATTTACCTCAAGTGGTTTCACTGCCTGCTGCGCGAGCGCAAGGACCTGAGTTCGATCCCCGGTACCAAAAAAAAAAAAGTGAAGTATAGACTTTATATTTCATTTTCTATATCTTTTCTTCTCCCTGATGAGTTTTCCTCAATGAGCAGCATAGAGATATTTGTGTCTTTTGAAATTCTTTTTTTTCTGGTACTGGGGATCGAACTCAGGACCTTGTGCTTGCAAGGCAAGCAGCAGCACCACTGAGCTAAACCCCCGGCCCAGAAATTCTTATAGGAACCTCTGTCTGTATTTGCTAAGTCGAAGAAAAACAAAACAAAACAAAATCTATGAAATTAGAGGCTGTAACCAGGCCTGGTGGTGCAGGCCTATAGTAGTTTCAGCTACTGTACTTGGAAGGTTGAGGCAGAGGGCTCACATATTCAAGCCCAGGCTGGGAAACATAGTGAGACCTTGTTTCAAAATAAAATTTTAGCCAGATGTGGTGGCGAACACCTGTAATCTTAGCACTCAGGAGGCTGAGGCAGGAGGATTGCTATGAGTTCCAGGCCAGCCTGGACTACATAGTGAGTTCAGGGCTAGCCTGAACTACATAGTGAGATCCTGTCTCAAAAATGAATAAATAAGTAAAATTTTAGAAAAGGATCGGGATGTAGCTCAATGGGAGAGTTCTTGCCTAAGGCATGAGGCCCTGCATTCAATCACCAGTACTATCACCCCCCAAAATTAGAGATTGTTTTTATTAAGTTACCTTTATATGCCAAGCTCTGTTCTGAGTACTTTGTGTACATTATGTCACTAAAGCCTTGCAGCAGCTCTCTATGACTTGCTCATAGTCACACACCCCACAAGTGGCAGAGCTAGAGCTTAACCTGGAAGTTTTAGCTTCAGTGCCCACATTCTCAGCTACTCCAGTACATCTCCTTGTCTTTGTCTCCTGTCTTTCAGGTAGATGGGAAATTGCTGTGCTGGCTGTGCACACTTTCATACAAACGTGTCCTTCAGAAGACCAAAGAGCAAAGGAAGCACCTGAGCAGCTCTTCTCGGGCCGGCCACCAGGAGAAGGAGCAGTACAGCCGCTTAAGTGGCGGCAGCCATTATAACAGGTGACCCGGGTGCATAAGATAGGCCAGGTTGCTGGGAGGTGAGATGTGAGGCACAGATGGGCATGGATAAAGCCATCTCGTAGAAGCTTTCCTAATTTTTTTTCCTCTCCTAGCCCATAAGAAGAATTTTGATTTGTAGCACTTACTCTACTTCACATGTAGTGTTTTTAGCCTTAGAGTGGGATATCTCTTTAGGAAATTGGACACTTTACTTTCTGAGGGATACACTTTTTTTCTTTTCTTTTTGTCTGTGTGTGAGAGAGAGATATTGTGGATTGAACACAAGGCCTTCACACTGAGGTGCATCCTCAGCCAGTTTTAAATTTTGAGACAGGGTCATACTGAATTGTCCAGGCTGGGCTTGAACTGCCCCTGCCTTAGCCTCCTGGAATGCTTATGCCATCATACCCAGGATGGCTTCTTGGGATTCACCTTTCTAAATATATACTTGTTTAGGGGGGTTAATAGATGTTCTAGGTTTATCAGAGTAAGAACCAATCAAAAGATGTCCTCTCACTGATGACTTAAACTTCCTTTCAGAGTAACTACAGTATTAAGAGTTTTGGTTATGCTTTGGGTACAGTGTCATGCACCTTTAATCCCAATTACTTGTGAGGCTGAGGCAGGAAGATTGCAAATTGAAGCCCAGCCTGGGCCAGTTTAGTGAGACTTGTCTCAAAAAAGGGCTGGAGGTGTAGCTCAGTGGCAGAGCACTTGCCTAGTGTGAGTGAGGCTCTGGGTTCAGTCCCCAGTACCACAAAAAAGAAAGTTTAAAAAAAAGCTTCGGCTCTAGATTGGATCCTGGCTCTTCTGAGTTCTCTGTGGGAATCTTGGGCAAGTTTTCTCGTCTATAAAATGAGGGAAATATTAGTATTGCCTCATACAGTTGTTGTGAAGATAAATTATATAGTATATGCATAGTAATTAGTTTTATAACTAGCATATAAGGAAATATTCCATACATTGTAGTTATTTTTTGTTATTATTGCTATTATGACTTTGTTTATTCAGCAAATTATTAATGTATTCTCAGGGCCCAGTGACTCTGCTAGGAATACAGAGGAATAAAAGAGTCATGCTGCTCTCTAAGTATACAGTGGGGTAGAGAAGACAGACTGGTAATCACATTATTGCACCTGCATCTGGTAATGCAGTGAGCACCACAGTGGAAACCTGGAGATACAGGCATAAGAGCTGGGCCCAGAGGCACACACCTGTAATTCCATCTGAGCATGTGGATTGAGAGTTCCTGGCCAGCCTGGGCTACATAGTGAGTTCAAGGCCTGTCTGAACTATATAATAATAATAATAATAATAATAATAATAATAATAAAAATAAAAAAAATACAGCCATGAGAGGCAGTAGTAATTAACTGCCTCAGAAAGTCAGACAGGGCAGGCTTGGGGAAGAGCTGAGGTGTAGCTGGATCTCAGGATAAGTTAGAATCATCAGATAAGGATTGCTGTTCCCCCTCAGCTGCAGGAATAGCATTTGCAAAGACAATGGAGGGCCTGAGAACTCACAGAACCTGGGAAGATTTTAAGTCCTTTTACACTGCCAGAGCTTGTGGTTCGGCAGTGAGGATTGGGAGGAAAAGGTCCTGCAGACAGGGTAAGGAGTGTGAACTTGATCCTGGGCTCGTGGACAGCCATTGTAGGGAGGGATCTATTCAGGAGAGGAACCAAATCTGCATTCAGATGAATTAAACTTGACTAGTGGAGAATGCATGGGAAGAAAAAGGGACCAGGGGCTAATTAAGAAGCTTTTTTGATAAAAGACCAATAAGAGATGTTATAAGAACCTCACCTGAATGACAGTGGGACTGAAGACTGAAGAGGCAGATTTGGGAAGGTACTTTGGAAGGAAAATTAGGAGCAATTTGGATAATTTAATGTACAAATAAATGGGCAGGAGTTGCATGGGTAAAGGTAATTCCCAGGTTTTTTATTTGGATGAATATTACTAGGTCCTCAACTGAATGAAAGAGAATAAAAGAATGGGAGAAGAGAAAAGGTTTAGTTTTGAAAAGCTGAGTTTGAAGCACCAAGAATAATTATAGGAGCTAATCCTAGACTCAGAAGAGAAATTTGGACATGGACCATGGTAGTACATAAGAATCACTGGGAAGGGCCGGGGATTTAGCTCAGTGGTTTCACCGCCTGCTGTGCAAGCGCAAGGACCAGAGTTCGATCCCCGGTACCAAAAAACAAAAAAAGAGAATCACTGGGAGTAAGATTATTTAAAAATGTAGATTCCTACAACTCCGCCCCAGGATTCAATTCAGTAGGATCTGGGATAGAGTCCAGGAATCTGCATCATTTTACAAACATCCCAGACAATTTTTTTGTTTTGCTTTTTGAGACAAGGTCTTGCTGTGTAGTTTAGACTGGCCTTAAACTCACTATGTAGCCCAGGATAGCCTTGAACTTATGGTGATCCTCCTGCCTCAGCTCCCTGAGTGCTGGGGTTACAGGAGTGCACCACCATGTGCAGCCTCATCCCAGATAATTTTAGTGAAAATGATCTTGGGAGACACTGTGTTCAATACTGTGTTAAAACCATGTTTTTGGATGATACAACTCAGACTGGGGCTGAGAACAGAACTCTGGAAGCATTCAGTATTTAAGAGATGGACAAAGAACTAAGAAGTAGCTCTTACAAAAGTAGGAGGAAAGCTGGGCAGCTGTAATCCCAGCTATTTGGGAGGCTGGGACATGAGGATCATGTTTGAGGCTAGCCTAGACAACTTAGATTCTGTCTCAAAATAAAATAAAAAGGGTTGGGGATATAACACAGCAGTAGTGCATGTGCACAGCATGCACAAGGCCCTGCATTCAATTCCCAGTACCACTCCTCCCAAAAAGAAAAGCTAAAGTTTCAAGAAGGATGATTGGTGGAATCATATACTGGAGAAAGGTCAAGTAAGGAAAGATCTGGAGAGCCCTCTGGGCTTGACAACTGAACACCCATCAAAATGAAAGGTTGCATACCAGGAAGTCTTCAAGCTTTTCTTTGAAGACCAATTTTAGATAACCTTATTGGGGATAAAACTGATTTTATTGTGGGACTCAGATACCTGTAGTAGATTTGTAGTGAGGAAGACCAGGAATTCAAATATTTTGATCTGATTTCTAGTCACAGCTTTACTACTAACTAGCTGTATACCCTTGAGTAGGTCAGTTAACCTTGATGAGCTCAGTTTCTGGAAGCAAAATAGAAATAACTGTCAGACCTCGAAGATGGGAGATATATGTGAGCCAGTGAAAGGAAAAGTGCTTTTGAAAGCATAAGACAGATTATACTTGTCATTGAAGTTTTAACAGTTCTGTTCTCATGTATATTAATAAAGCATCTAATATTTATAAAAGCCAAAATGTTGGTCCTATGGAAATTACCCATGCATTATGAACCTATAAAATCAATGCTTTGGTAGATTTTCATAATTGAAAATACAAGCTCTGCACAGAAGAGCCTCTATCTTACATTGGTCCATTTGACAGATTTTAATCGTGGTGGTTTATTAATCTTTGATTTCTAATGTGTGTATCTCTTTTTGCTGTTAAAAGCCAGAAAACACTTTCTACATCTTCAATTCAGAATGAAATCCCAAAGAAAAAATCCAAGTTTGAATCAATTACAACTAATGGAGACAGGTGAGCCAGTTGGAATTTGTGTGTACATCATTTGAAATGCTTTATATTGTTCCTATAGGAATGTGTTTTCATATGTGCTTTGGAGCTAGTCTAAGCTATCATCTGTTTATCAATTGAATCTTATCTTTACATATAAGAACTTGTAACTGAAGCAGGGCATAGTGGCACATTCCTGTAATCTCAGCACTTGGGAGGCTGAGGCAGGAGGATTGCCATCAGTTCAAGGCCAGCCTGGGCTACATAGTGAGGTCAAGGACAGCCTGAACTATATAGCAAGACCCTGTCTCCAACAAAAGAACTTATAACTAACTGGATTGAATAGCAGTTGAATAGCAGTTCACTAGGTAACTCCTCTGCACTGATTCTAGGAAGTTAGAGCTGAACACTTTTCACTGTGGTCTGTGCCTGTAGCCTCCTCCAGTCAGGGCAGCAGTTGGTTTCAAGAGACAAGGCAGGGCTGAGGCAGTGTTCTGTCTGTGAGGGGGGTGATCCACACTTCCTTAGCATTCAGAAAGCCAGCCCAGTGCAAATGCTTGATCAGCAGAAAATGAGATGCATTTAAATAGTTTTCATTTTCAACCTGTCTGAATGCACATTTTTATTCCTCGCTTTCCTCTCTCCTTCTCAGCGATGCTTCCTCTTACGAGCTGCTTTGTCCTAATATCCAGAATGCCCCATCCATGTTGGTGCAATGGGCTGCTTCCCAACAGCGTCTTGGGGCCAACCATTTTCCTGTTCCTCCAGGCCCGGGCATCTTGAAGTGAGACCACCTGACACACACTGCCCTAAAATCCTTGGAATCATCCCCATTCTGAAACTACTCCATTCACAGTTCTCCCTCCCAGCCAGTGGTGGATATGAAGCAGATTCATACCAAGGCTGAATTTTTTAATTTAGCAGACTACAAAACATCTGGGAAGTTACTCTTTCCCATTGCCTTTTTCATTGACTCAATTTCAGATCCTACATAGATAGTGTCTCTTTACAACTAGTTTGATTTTAATATTCTTGGGTTAAACTTTTTGGAAATGCTTAACTTACATATTCAGATAACATGAGGTAAGCAACCATGATGACCATCTTTCCAGTCAGCTTTACTGATGTCTGAGCCATTCTAGAAAAATGTAACACTGTCTTGCTATGTCATCAGACTGGTCTTAAAATTCCTGGGTTCAGGCCAGGGATTTAGGTCAGCGGCGCCATGTCTACCTGGCAAGTGCAAGGTCCTGAGTTCAATCCCCAGTATCAGGAAAAAAAAAAACCTCTTGGGTTCAAGCAATCTTCCCACTTCCTCCCAAGTAGGAATGAACTTACATTTTATTTCATTTCATTTTCATTTTACGTATACATAAAATGTGCTTTGGAGCTAGTCTAAGCTGTCAGTGAACATGTTCAGAGTGCTACACTACAGTACTGATACCTGTTCATCAATTGAATCTTGCCATTACATATAAGAAGTTGTAACTAACTAGATTTAATAACAGTTGAATAGCAGTTCACTAGGTAACTCCTTTGCACTGATACTAGGATGTCAGAACCAAACACTTTTCACTGTAGAAAAAAAATACTTATATTTTATATATCATTTGAAATACTTATGTTGTTCCTATAGGAATGATTTTTAGGATGTGCTTTGGAGCTAATTTAAGCTATTGGTGAACCTTTTCAGAGTGTTACACTGTAGTACTGATATCTAGATGATTGATTGATTGATTGATTGATTTAGAGACAGGGTCTCACTATGTAGTCCAGGCTGGCCTTGAACTCACTATGTAGCCCAGGCTGGCCTAGAACTTATGATCATCCTCCTTCAGCTTCCTGACTGCGGGGATTACAGACATGCACTACCACACTTGGCTTTATTTTTTATATTTTGTTTTGTGATGGTACTAGGAATCAAACCTAGAGAAACTACTACTGAGCTGAATCCTGTGTTTTTTAATTTTTATTTTGAGACAGTGTCTTGCTAAATTGCCAGGTAGCAACTTGGAATCCTCCTGCTTCTTCTTAAATGCTAGGATTACAGGTGTGCCCTACAATGCCCGCCCTGCTAGGAATGAACTTTTGAATGGCCTATAAAGCATGGCATTCAAGTCAGGCATGGTGGTGCACACCTGTATTCTCAGCACTTGGGAGGCTGAACCAGGGTGATGGAGAGTTCAAGGTCAGCTTGGGCTACATAGCAAGACCCTGTCTCAAAACAACAACAACAACAAAAACAATAGAACAACAATAACAACAAAAACAATAGAAAGGCCAGACATTTAAGACAAGACCTATATATTTTAGATCCATCATTTCTGTTTGTCCTCAGTTATGATCCAGGCTGTGTTTGAATGACCTGGAAAAAGTTCGTTTATGCCCTCTAATTTAACCAAACAATCCATAAAATTTACTTTTTATTAGCTTATTTCGTTCTTGGGATATTGCCGCTCTTCTTCCTGTCCATTGCCATGGATTCACCAAGCTAGAACTCAGGCTTTCAGTTCAGACTGCTTTATTGTATTTGGCCACTAACAACAACTCTTCCTCATGTAAGATGCTGATCCTTTACATGAGCTTTTATGATACCCTCCAGAAAGGGTATTAAAGATCATTTCACCCTAAATGTCATACTGACTTATGAAAGTAATTTGGAAAAAATTTTCTGTTTGTTGCCACAAAAATTTTTATACATACAGTGTACAAGTTTCATTTGAATGTTCCTACATTCACAATATTAACATTCTATTCTTATTTGTATTTGTTTTAAATATTCATTGCTCAAGATAAATTACATGTTTTCATCCTTTTTAGTTTTTGGAGATTTTTTTTTCCTGTTTTTCATTCACTTTTCAAAAAGCATTCTGACAGTCCTTTGAGGATTTTTGATAATCCTTTTTAATGTCATATAGACCAAAAATTTCTTTTTACTGAGTACTTGTATAGCAAGTATTATTAGTCCTGTTTCTGAAATATTCATTATTTGTGGTGCACATTTGTAATTCCAGCATCCTCACACACCTATAATCCTAGCTGCCTGTGGTGCTGAGGCAGGAAGATCACAACTTTGAGCCCAGCCTAGGCAATTTTGTGATTTAGCAAGACCCTGGCTAAAAATAGAATATGGGCTGGGGCCGGGGATTTAGCTCAGTGGTTCCACTGCCTGCCTCGCAACCGCAAGGACCTAAGTGTGATCCCCGGTACTACAAAAAATAATAATAATAATAAGGGCTAGATATATAGCTCAGTGTAAAGGCCCTGAGTTCAGTCCCTAGTACCACAACAAATACATACATACATACATACATACATACATCAACCAACCTGCCAGCTGTAAAGGGAAACTATAAGTTGTTGCTCTATTGTCATTATTGTCATAGGGAATTGGGAATCAATATTCCAGTATTCTAGTCTGCTTAGGAAAAAGAGGGTTGTGTTTAAAGATTGTCCTAGAATGGTGCATGCCTGTCTGTAATCCCACCTGAGAGGCTGAGGCAGGAGAATCACAAGTTTGAGGCCAGCCTGGGCAGCTTGGACCGTGTCTCAAAAAAAAAAAAGTCTTGGAAGAAGTAAAGAGCTTCCTTTGGGAATTCTCTGGAGAAGGGCAAAATTTGACCCTCTTGGTAGTGATTCTTTAACTTAATTTGGGTCTGAGGCTTCTATGACCAGCCGTTGAAAGCTATGGATCTTAATCCAAAAAACTGTGCATTATATGGGAAGCCAAGATTGTACATATACTACAGTTTCAGAGGTTTACAGATTCTCTGTTTATGAGACTGCTAAAAGGATGTGGCATCCCCAGCTCCAGTGACTAGAAGGAATCCTTTGAAAAAGCAGGCTACAGTGTGACTCTGAGTTCAATCCCCCTTTGTTCCTTTCCTAACTAAATGTCACAGAATTCTCTATACTGGAAATGATAGTCTGCAGGTCTGTTGTAGCATAGGGGAAGTTGGTTTCTTTCCTGTTAATTTCTTCTTTTTACAAAAGGCGACTATACCGAAGGCAGAATCCAGTAGCTTCTCCAGAGCTATACCTCATCACTGGGCTCTGGAGCACATCCCTAAATACTTGAGCTTACAATTTGTAATCTATCCAGAATTCTAGGGAAGTTCTCCAACTATGGACATGATGACTATTTCACCAGTAAATCAATTTGGATCATTAGTCAACCTGAACAGTGTCCTTGGCTCTGGGAAATGTGGCATTCATTTTAGTACTGAATGGGAGAGAAGATGCTGTAGAAATGTAAGTGGGTTGTAGTTTGTGTTGGTGACCACTCAAGCTGTGTGCTTCAGCAAATGCTGTTAGTCCTGGTGGGTCTGGAGCAATGTGCTTAATGCTGGGAATTCAGATAGTTATTTTATCACTGGAGGAGCTCACAATCAAGTGGCCTGGGTTGCACACTCAGGTAGAGACATTTATCCATCCAAGTTAAGATGTTTTTCCCTTGCATTTTTCTACTCAGCTTTTCTCCAGACCTGGCTCTGGACTCACCAGGCACTGACCATTTTGTCATCATCGCCCAACTGAAGGAAGAGGTGGCTACTCTGAAGAAGATGTTGCATCAAAAGGATCAGATGATTTTAGAGAAAGAGAAGAAGGTATGTTTAGTGAAGACATGGCTTATAGAATGATGCAAGGGTTAAGGTGTGTGAAATGGGAGGTGATGACTCACTTCAGCTGATACTTGTTGGCCACTGATGCCTGGAGAGAGATTCCACAGCAAGGTTGGGATACCTTGGGGCAAGGCTCGATGTTGCCACCATGACTCACAGATGGCATTACCTTGGTCAGTCTGCTCAGCCACATAAGTTCAGAAAGTTGATTTTTCTTAGCACTTAGAGGGAGCTTCCCCTTCTCAGAGAGGACACTGGCTAGCCAAACCACAGAGACAATGTATAAAATTACAGCGTTCATATCCTAATTCACAATGGAGTATATAACAACATACTATTGTCAGAGTGACCTACCTTGGGAGAGTGTATGTAATCAGAGGGTGTTGAGTGAACATGGAGTTGGGATAAGAGATAGTATTTATGTAATTGGAATGTTTAATGCTCTCAGGCTCAAAGAACTCGATGTCTCTATCTCTATTATGGGGTGGCTGTGTCCATGGGACAGTAATACTCAAAGTCTGTAGGCCAGGTCTCCTTCCTCCCTGGACAGTGTCCAACTGGACCCTCTTCCATGATTCTTATGCTACTGCTTCATCACTGGCAGCTCCCTTACTAAGGGACCCACTTCAAACACATTAATAATTCAATATCTTCATTATTAACATTCTATCTTCACATTAAGATATTACTTTTTTTTGTTGTTTAAACAGGGTCTATGTAATTTAGATTGGCCTTGAATTTACTACTGTATATTGCCCAGGCTGGCCTTGAATTTGTGGCAGTCTTCCTGCCTCAGTCTCCCAAGTGCTGGGATTATAGGCGGGTGCCACCATGCTTGGCTTAGCCTTTTCTATTTTTCATTTTGAGAACAGGGTCTTGTTAAATTGCCCAGGCTAGACTCATACTTGGAATTCTCCTGCCTCATCCTCCCAGGCATGTGCTGGGTTACAGGCATGTGCTGCTGTACCCAGCTATGTTATTTTTCTATTATTATATTCATATCTTCATGGTAAGATCAGTCTTATTTTGGTCTTTAGAGTTATCCTTTCTCTTGAAGGGAGCTTTTTATGTCCTTGTTCTAATTCATGTTTATTATTACCTTATTTTCAGTTTCTTAGAGATTATCTCATTTTTGCATTAATGCAGTAATAGCTAGCTTTTACTGGATGCTTACTTTGTCTCCATTCTAAGTACAGCATCTTAGGATATGTGTTACCTCATTCTTTTGTTTTAATTTTTATTTCTTATTCGTACATTTTAGATATACATATTGATACCAGTCATCATAGAAAATTTCTGCCTGTACATGATATATCTTGCTATTTTTTCCCATTTCCCTTCCCTCCCTTCAACTCTTCTACCCCTCCTTATTTATAAAAGCTTTGTTTCCATTTATTTCCTTTTATTCTCTTTTTTTTTTTTCTTGTTCCTTCCTTTCCTTCTCCTTCCTTTGTGCCCTTTCCCATTTGAACATTTTCTTCCTGGTTCCTCCTATCTGCTATACATTTTGGTCCTCATTTACACTTTTGGTTTCTCACACCAGAGAAACAATGTGGTATTTAAACAATGTGTGCCCAGTTTATTTCACATAAGAGTATGGACTCAAGGGCCGAGGATTTAGCTCAGTGGTTTTGCCACCTGCTGTGCAAGCGCAAGGACCAGAGTTCTATCCCCAGTACCAAAAAAAAAAAAAAA